CATACAGACAGACAGACATACAGACATTCAGCTTTATATATAAGATTTACTTGAAACAGCTAGTAAGCCATGGAGTTTGTCCAGCACTTTTTGAACCCTCCCATAACAAACTGGAGTTCTAAGTTGGTGACAGCCAGAAAAATCGCGCCTCTTGACCGTCTCTCCTCTCGGGGGGGGGGGGGGGGGAGGTCTCGGTACGCCACTGTCGCATAGGAATTAGTCACTGTATAAATTGCATGATTTTTGCCATCTTTTCACCGTTTCTTCTCTCGCCCCATGTTCGCACATATCGAAAATTCTCTGCCTCGAGACTTTCCATTTTTCCAGGAAAACTTGGAACAGTGAAAATTCTGTAATCGTTTTTAGAGTATAGAGATTGATAGGTACCGATCAGCACCCAACTTGAAAAAGATCAGGCCTGTATGAATACAGTTGGAAAAAATGCATAGTGTTTGTAGTATGTCAGAATTCCGTGTATTTTGTGAGCCTTACAGGGGGAAAATTCAAAAATATCACATGCTTCGGAAGCTCGGAAGCTTCGGAAGCTTTATCTATGAATAATCCTGCGATGTTGAGCTGTTTTTTATTTTAAAACTGGAGTCACTGTATAAAAGTTCTCAAATTGCTCATTTCGCTATTTCGAGCAACTATTTCATCAATTAAGGTACAACAATGCGACTGCGCCAACATGCTGCCGGCACAATGCGGATGTCAGGTCTCACAAAATCCTTCGTGTGATTGCGGACAATTGCAACAACAGTATAGCAGCTGCGGTTGCGGTGCACCACTCACCTACCAGGTTAGGAGTCTTTCTCAGCTTTTCGCAATATCCATTATCCTGTTACAGGTATCATGCAATCAATGCCAAGCTGCTCCACAGCCAATGTGCGCCCCATCGTGCATGCCGTCATGTCAACCTGGTTGCATGCAACAGCAGCAGCCGCAGTACATCGTCATGCAGCAGCCCCTGCAACAGCAACAACAATGCGCTCCAGCCTGCATGCCGTCCTGCCAGCCGCAGTGCATCCAGCAGGCCTGCACGCCAGCTTGTCAGCCGATGTGCGCGCCACAATGCGTGCAACAGCAGCAGCAAGTACCGCAGATTATCGTTGTGCAACAGGAACCTCAGCAACAATGCGCGCCGGCCTGCATGCCCGCGTGTCAGCCGCAATGCGTGCAACAAGCCTGTGTTCCAGCATGCCAGCCCACCTGCTCTCCACAATGCATCGAGCAGCAACAGCAACAGATCATCGTCATGCAGCAGCCACTGCAGCAGCAACAACAATGCGCTCCATCTTGTATGCCAGCTTGTCAGCAGCAGTGTGTGCAAGCATGCGGTTCAAACTGCAATCAACAGCAGCAGCAGCCACAAATCATCGTCGTACAGCAGCCACCCCAACAACAGCCCCAATGCGCTCCAGCATGCATGCCAGCCTGTCAGCCGTCATGCATAGAACAACAACAGCAGCAGATTATCGTCGTTCAACAACCACAACAGCAGGATCAATGCGTGCAGTCGTGCATGCCCTCTTGTCAACCCTCCTGCGTGCAGCAAGCGTGTGCGCCGGCCTGTCAGCCGATGTGCTCTTCCCAATGTGTCGAACAGCAACAGCAGCAAATCGTCGTCGTTCAGCAGCCCTCACTGCCTCAGCCATCTTGCGCACCTGTCTGTCAGCCGAGCTGCTCCCCTCAGTGCGTTCAGCAGCAACAGATCTGCGCAGCCGCTTGTGAGCCCAGTTGCCAGAGCTCATGCAGTTCCAACGCCCAGTGCGTCCAAGCTTGTCTGCCCAGCTGCGAATCCTCTTGCGTCCAACAGTCCAGCGGTCCTGTCGTCGTCGTCCAACAAGCGCCAAATAACTGCCCAACTGCTTGTCAGCCATCTTGCACACCTCAGTGCCTCCAACAGCAACAAGTCTGTGCTTCCGCTTGCCAGCCTTCTTGCCAAAGTTCTTGCAGTGGAAACCAGCAGTGCGTGCAAGCCTGCATGCCAAGTTGTCAGGCAACTTGCGCCCAGCAACCCATTCAGCAAGCCCAGGCCCAAGTGATACTGCAGGTCATGCAGGCAGCAGCTCAGCAGCAGCAGTGTGCACCGGCTTGCCAACCGTCGTGCCAACCGCAGTGCGTTCAACAGCAGCAGCTCTGCGTCCAGGCTTGTCTGCCAAGCTGCCAAAATGCATGCAATGGAAATATGCAGTGTGCGCAGACGTGTCAAGGCAGTTGCGAACAATCTTGCGCCACGCAACAAGTGGTCGTCGTTCAAGCCCAGCCGATTTGCGGACAAGCTTGTCAGGTTAGCTTTCTCTTCCATCTTATAATCGTTTTCATCTCAATAGAAACATGGTGAACGGTAATCGATCTGAGATGGACAGACCAATTGCGGTAGAGCGCATCTTATTCAGCCCCCTGTCTAATTTGCCAGAGATGTTGCCGCGCTCTACCGCGAATGGCCTGCTCCAAGTAAAAGCAAGACTGTTCATAGCTACTGGGAGGACGCTATTTGAAGCTGCCCATCGCAAACCTGAATCTTCTCTTTTCTGCCCACGAACTTCTGCGACCTCCCTTCAAGCTCCGAACTTGTTTGCTCATCCGATCTCGCTGTAATATTAGACCGCAAAAAGGCGACAAGAAAGAGGCGCAGCGCAGACAATGGGATGAACGACTGGGGTTAGAGCAAATTTGTATGCGCGCGCGTGCGAAAGCGACGGTTTCTGGTCCCTGCGAGCCAGCAAAGCAGCTCTACGGCTATTTGCGCAACGACGACGCTGCGGTAGCGCCGTCGCAGTCGTTGCTCTGGTCACTCACTCATTAGAAGCGTGCGATGTGAGTGGCGAACGCGTGTCTTCGCCAGCAGCAAACATGCAACTAGCACGATCATCGGCCTAAATGACCATTTCGACCGCTTTCGTCCATTTTGAACATTGCGGGATGCGTAGGATCGCGAAAAGGCAACAAGCAGCAAAAATAATTACTCTTATAAGAAAACGGGGCAATTATGTGGAGATGTGCTACTCGGCTACATGGGCCACAAGATTTTGGAATTGGGTTCTACTTGAAATATGTCCTATGGGGTTACTCAGTATGTTGCTCATTCACCGGTCCTTAGGCGGCCATACTTCACGCGATTTCAAACGCGACGCAATAAAACCGCGCGAGATATAGGCAAGGCTTTATAGAGTTCAGCAGTGTTTAAAATTATAGAATTCGCTCAAATTTGGCCCAAAAGCTCTACTCAACGCGTTACAAAAAATAAGAAGACTCACGTGACATTTCAACATTCGTACGGTTACGGTAGCGGTATGGCTGATGGGGTCCCGTCATAAAGGCAGCCTCCCGGCAAATTGATGAGTATCAGATGTTATGAGATTGCAACGGGATCCCCCACTAATCTATCAGTGAAGCCTGGGCGTGAAAAAAAAACGCGTCTGGAACACCTGATACCGGCTCTGGAAGTCTTGCAGCCCCACCCATTCGTTCCGGATCCCGCCTACTTACACGTATTTTCCATTAAACGCGATATGGTGAGCTTCGAAAAAAAAGCCCATTCACGCCATTTTCATGCGCTGCAAATGAAAAATGACCCCGTGCTCATTTTGGCTAGTTTGTGTCGTATCGCAGGAGCGCTTAGATCTTAAACCGTCAAATCGTTACTAAACTACTTTAGTTCTATAAGGCGTAGCGGTTTTTTGGTTGCGATGCTCAGCTTTCCATCTCGAGTATTTTCGTCACCTCCTAGGAACAACAAATATCAGCCGCAAAAACACGCTATCACTTTAGCACGACTTTCTGTTTGTTCTATGGCCGATTCGAAATCATGACCCTACGAGGACTCATCTTAGTGGATTTAGGGATCCAATTAATCATTTATTATTCTAGGCACAACCAGCATTGCAATGTTCTCCACAATGTCAGCCCACTTGTCAACCGTCCTGCCAGGCTCAGGCCAGCTACAGTCAAATGCCGGCCATTGTGATGTGCTCACAACCGGCCGGACAGTGCAGTTGTGGTTCTGGATATTCACAATGTATGCAAGGAGTATGTTGTCTACGAAAGCGACATCGTTCAGCCAAGAACAAAGCCTAGAATCTTCTCTCTCTATTTTCCAAGTCTCACACCTAGTCACTGCATTTTCCCGTTTCCATCTGAGCTAACGCTCTTTACAAGAGCGCTCTTCTACCTCACATTAACAGAATCTGCAAAGCTGGCTTTACACTTACTGTTGCTCAAACCTCCCCAAAACTGCGATTCGACACCTGTGCGCAGGCTTTTCTCTATATTGAGGATATTTATTTGTTACACGTGCTTTCTGCTCAAATACTTGTTATTCTAGAGAGATAGGATTCGGTAAAGAATCCGTATGTTCAGCTATGGTTGTACGTCATCGTTTTATTGTCAGTTGCTAAATAATGACTTCAACATGGATAAATATGGAAGATCCTGCTGTATATGACTGATCTGAACCAGAGAACTGTCAATATTTACACTACAGTCGAGTAGATTTTCCGCTTGATATAGTGTGCTTGCACAAAAAGTGAAACGCGGTAAAATTTGCCCGTGAAGAAATAGCATCGACTGTGACGCCGGCCAATTGCGCGCGCAAAATGCCGGCAGTACTGGCGTGGCTATTGATTCACGCGCAAGTTTCACCGCATTTCACTTTCTGTGCAAGCACACTATATTGAGCGGAGAATCTATTCGACTGTAACTTGAATTTCAACGGGGTCGCTCTTGTTTTACGGGTACTTTCGTAAATTGTTCATCAGCTCTCTTATGATATGACTATGACCAATACGATAATCTTCCATAGTATAGATGATGCATGTAAAATTGTCGGTGCTCAAAGATAAGGAAAAATATTCAGGTTGCCTACGCTTGAATTTGTTTCTTCAATCGTACCTTCAGAATAGGAGTGTCACTGCATCCGCGACAGCATAGTTGTAACCCAGGCAGCATAAACATATTCTTCATAGTTTGCCTCATTCATTTTCTGAAATCGCCTCAGAATGGTTCTTGTACCGGTGATCATTCTCAACGTAGTCACTATTCCGCTATTCATAGCACTTGTTGTGGCTTACTTCATCTCGGCGAGAAAGGCGAGAACAATTTTCCACTAAGACGAATTTTGAAGCAAGTAATCTTGCAGCTGACCAACAAAGTTCAAACAGTTGAGGAAAACACTATGGCTATAATGGATTCGATTTTAGCGATGTCTATACCGATGCAGCTAACCAAAGAGATCAATGCCTGCGCACTGGAGCACGCTCGAAATTTGAAATGACAATAACAGCACATTGGGGATACGCATTTGTAAAAGTTAATTATACCTGAAAATCTCAGTGAACAAGCCGTGATCTCATTGTTTTTCTTCCAGAACTGGGTATTTCATAAAATTCAAATTTGTACTCTGTTTGGTAGACACCAAGCGACTTCTCGTGACAGTGCCCGGCACAGGGCTTAGGCACGCACCATACTTAATCAACTTGATCCGTTTGATCCATTGTTACTGATTATTTCACTTCGCGATTGGGCAAAACGGTGAAGTGACTAATAGCAACGGCATGTGCTCTTGATTTGACCCGCTTCATTCGTTTCGCTATTGGTCAATTCACTGATTTTGACGACTAGCGAAGTGAATCAAGTGGATAGTGGATCAGATATGGCGTGTTTCTTATGCGCAAGCTGGATATCGTTTTTGGAACAAAAAGCAAAAGGGATATCGACTTGAGAAAACGCAATTTAGGTTACCTTTTTTAGTCGACGTTTCGTTTTTTGGGTTTTTTACGTTTAGGGTTTAGGGTCAAAGAGGTTTCCTTGAAATTTTGCAAAAATCAAGGGGACTTCGCTTCTTTGCATTTTCGGAAAGCCACCTCGTGTCAAGCCCTGCTCGTGGAGCGGGAAGTCTATCTACAAAGATGAACCCGGATATTTTATTCTCATTTTATTTTATTTCAATGCACCTGAAAGTGCTCTCCAAATCATCTTAGGAGCGGTTAGTACCAAACACTAATCCATCAACGTAACTTGGTTAGTGAATAATATATGAACAGCTAACTACCAGTCTTTGGCATGTGGAAAATTGCACCTAGTATAGAACTCTCCAATAGAAAAGGTACACTTGGTTTTAGAACATCTAAATTCAACTTATAGTTATTCTTTGATAAGCTAACAAAATGTAGCTATTCTGAATGTAACTATAATAGTATGACGATACTTGCCTGTAAATCTTAATGCCTTTCAAAAATGAAGTCCCCAAATGGACCAGCGAGCCTACGGGCGGAGGCTAGCTGGTTCAACCCCAGAAAATGAACAGTAGAATTTTGAGAGTCCACCAAAATCAACAGACCAAGCTAAGCCGAATATACATGCAAGCTGAGGAGAAAGCAATTGCTACCTTAATAAGCAGCTGACCATGCCAAAGAAAGGATGAGTCGAATGTCAGAAAACAAGTTACTTTACATCATCAACTCCCATTAACTGCAGAACATCTACTTTTTTCAAGGCTGTTTTCAACTGAATCGAAGAAGTCAAAGCCAAGAACTGGGGTGGAAGCTTATTTAAGATCGAAGCTGCCCGGTAAAAAAAGTTGTTGCGTTGCAGGGAGATATTGCGCTTTCCAAACCTAGAAACAAACGAGTTAAAAGAAGGTCTGCGTTCACTAACAGGTTGGAAAACCCAGTATTTACTGGGTTTCAGACTTACCTCACCTCGCAGAACCTTGAAAGCCATGAAAACATCTGCCGATCTTCTATAGAAAAGAGCTTTAAGACCAAGCTTTTGTATTCTGGTTGTATAATCGGGTAACTCAAAAGGATGATTCGGGGGAAATGCGCGATAGAAAACTACTCTAATGAATTTTTTTCTGAATTTTTTCAATCTTATCTATATCTTTTTCTAACGTAGGATTCCACACATAGCTGCAATACTCCACAACTGGAAGAACCAAAGTTTTATAGGTTTTAAGAAGAAGTTCGGGGTCAGGAGATTGAACAGTCCGCAAAATCGTATATGTACAATATACGAGTCCCTCTAGATGCGATTTGGTTAATATGGTATGAATATTTCAATCTAGAGTCTGTAAAAACACCCAAGTGTTTGACCAAGAACTTGCATTCAAGGCCAAAGCTATCATTTGGGTGAAAGGGGGTTCTGCCAATAGGAACAGTGCAGCTTTTGGAATAATTAACTTTGATATTCCATCTATATGCCCAGTCAATCAATCGAGAAATTGAGGTGCGGAGTGCCGCATGAGCATTAACCTTATCGTGCTGGTCATAGGCGATATATATTTTAACATCATCAGCGTACGCAGCAACTCTAACACGTGGGTCCGTGTTCAGAGTGGCTGGCAAGTCAATCATCTACTATAATAATTCGCAGGCCCCCCCCCCCATCAAGTGTAAACATGTGGCTATGTCCGGCGATGACGTCACCAGTGACATCGTCACTGCCGGCGAGCATGTTTACAACCCCTTAAGGTCCAGAGAGCACCAGACAGTTCTGGAACTTTCTTTGAAAGGTCAGTTTCACAAAAAAGTCGAAAACAAAAGAAATCGTCGCAATTCAATCCATTGAACGATTCACTACCGCCGGCGGGCATGTTTACAATCCCTTAGGGTTCAGAGAGCGCCAGACAGTTCTGGAACTTTCTTTGAAAGGTCAATTTCACAAAAAAGTCAAAAACAAGAAAACTCAGACGTCGCAAAGCCAAATAGCAACCTTTTGCCTCCAAAACTGTGCATCACATAGACACCACCTTGCATTACGTATGCTTCGGTCGCCTTTCATGTTAGGTTCACTTCACTCATCAACCGTACCCAAAGTCAAAGTGGTATTCCTCCCAACACTCTCTATCCACCATTACTGTTGCATCTTTTGAAGTCTATCCCAAATCTCTTCCTGTCCCAATGGTTGCTCTATCACTTCTATTATCATCGAGTTTACATTCTGAAAGTTCTTCCCTCCATGCTTATTGGTAGCTTTGAGCGCTAGATACGCGGAAATCGGTCTTTTTCTCTCTCCCTCTATGAGTTTTCTCTTGTTTGCGCTTAATTCATTGCTCCAGCAGTGTCTTCATGTCAAAAAAATGGTAAAACAATTTAGGGGATCAATAGCTATCTCAGGAACTGCTGGCTTTGCTTTCAAGCCTTCTTCGTTCTTATATCGTTACCTTCAAACATTGTTTCCAAGTCAAATTCGTTGTTGCACAGAAATGCAGAAATTTTTTTGATCTTCTAAAATCTATCGACCTTGCTGCACTCTGAGATCTGTTTAGTTTCAATCATTGTCTCAACTCTAAATACTGTTTCCGTGTCAAAGGCGTCGCATAAGACTATATCGTAACCTAACAAATCGCTGCATTCTAACTATTTCTCCAGTCTTAATTTTAGCACTGTAAGATGCACTTTCATCTATCACAAAAAAAAAATTAAAAACGCTATAGAGTTGCCTATTTCAACGAGTTTCGTTCGTTCAACAATCTAATCCATATATGAACGATTCACTACTGCCGGTGAGGATGTTCACCAGACAGCTCTGGAACTTTCTTTGAAAAGTCAATTTCACAAAAAAGTCAAAAACAAAAGAATTCGTCGCAATTCAGTCCATATAAGAACGATTCACTACTGCTGGGGGCAAGCCACCCCTTAGGGTTCAGAGAGCACTAGCCAGTTCTGGAACTTTCTTTGAAGGTCAATTTCACAAAAAAAGTCGAAAACAAAAGAATTCAGACGTCGCAAAGCCAAATAAGTAACCTTTTGCCTCAAAAACTGTATCACATAGACACCACCTTGCATTACTATGCTTCGGTCGCCATTCATGTCAGTTTCACTTCACTCATCAACCGTACTCATTGCTTCAGAGCATCATGAGATAGTCTACGGAGAAACTGAGTGATGATCATCAGTACGTTTTTACATATGAATTTGAGCAAACATCTCTTTGACGGCTGCATATGCTTTTTTAAATGCATAAACCATAAGCTTTATAGAAATTTGTGTCAAAACAGTAGATTAAACCATCAACATTAGTAGATGAAATCATAGTTTTGTTTGACGAAAAAACTCGGCCTATGATTATCAGCAAACATTTTCTGGATATGTGTCTAATCTGTCAGGTTCAAGGGGTGTACGGACCCTTGCCTGAGCGTAGCGGTGCGAGGTAAGTACATTAGAGTTATTATAAATATTTATTAAGATTAATTAAATAAGGGTGATACATAGGGGAGGGGGGAGGGGGAAGTGGGGCGAGCCCGTCGGCTCCGGTGCTCCCACCTTCACTGAGCCTTAGGCGATGGCTCTGCCCCTCAGCTAGCAGCTGTTGCCGGGCTGGGTCCCGACATCTCCAATTCCAATTTAAGCTCGTCCTCGAGCTTACAGATAGCTGGCGAACGTAGTGATGAGGTTGTTGATTTTACATCTTCGAAGTCTCCATTTCGCGGAAGAATAGGTGAACTGCGTAGACAGTCACGACCTATTCTTCATCGTTGGCGTCATCAGTCTTATCAGTCATCATCACATCATCATCCCGGACGTTGGAGGAAGCTCGTCCTCGAGCTAAGGTCGGCAGTGGACGAAGGGGAAGATCGGTTGGTGTCGTGGTAGAAGAGGGTGTCATTGCTAAGGTAGGCATGGATATTGACGTGAAATTCGTACGTAGAAGGTGATGTAGAAGTGGGGAGTGTGATTTATATAAAATGGGGTTACATTCATCATTGTTGTGCATTGTGTAAGTTAATAGCAAAATTACCGTGGTACATACTGAAGGGAAAAAAGTACATAAACAAATGCACATATGGAGGAGCAGTAAAACGAAATATAAACTCGTTTATGGGAAAATTTCAGATCCGAAAGATTTGTTGGAAGAAAAAAAAGCATTAAAATACATACGGAAGTGTAGAAAGAAATAGAGCAGGCTTTCAATTAGTCACAATCAATTGGCTAATTTGAGCACCTGGGCGAAATTTGAGAAATCACCAAAAAGGATTGCAGAAAACGTGCGAAGCGGATTTCTTAGGTTTTTTTTTTTGGTAAGAAAATGAGATTATTGCTGACTCCTGTGAATCGCCTTTTCAAAGGAGTAAATGTAATGATGGGAAAAAATTTTGATTTAACGCAGCGAGGAGAAAAAGAAAAGATGGACAAAAGAGAATGCATTTCAGAAAACCAGTAACTGCTAAAGTTACAAAATAGAAAACAGAAACAAACTTTTGTTTTATTGATCAGTTATCGGTTCTCTAGAGTGAGAAGGAACATAGGTAAGAGTTTTGCGTCGGTTTTGAAGACGTGTAGAGCGGCGAATATTAGGATGTTCTTCATTTTCTGACGTTTCTGATGTGATAGGCGAAATTGGTGTAGGGGTTGGACTAGAAACGTTAGCCAATGCAGAACGGGGTGCATAAATTTTCAATCTGTTAATGTGCACTGTCTGAAGGGTTTGACGACCAATCAGATTTTTGATAGTGATGTTAGGTCTGTTCACACTTTCTACTACAAAAGGACCCTTCCACTGTACTGAAAATTTTGGACGAACTGTATCGTCGTGTAACAGAACGAGATCCCCAGTGGAAATTTCCTTTAGAAAAACTTTGTGCTGAAAATCATAACCTGCTTTATATTTTGCTGTTTTACTAGCAATTTGGTTACCTACATCCATGATGGTTGTTTGTAGGGCCATGGTGAGCTGATCGGCAAAGTTGTCGGTTGCGTACGAGATGCGAGATGGTAGCTGGTGTACGATGTCGCTCCACGTAATAGGATGTCGTCCGTAGACGACGAAGTATGGACTGTATCCAGTCGTGTCGTTTATGCTCGAGTTGTAAGCAAAAACAACAGGCTGGAGAAAGTCAGACCAGTAGTCTCGCGCTTCCGAACAGTAAGAAGTGAGCGAGTCAGTGATGACCTTGACTAGTCGCTCTACTTGACCGTTTGCTTTATGATTGTAGCTTGTTGTAAAAACATTAGAGATTCCTAGAATTTCGTTGATTTGTGCAAAAATTTCACTTGTATAATTTGATCCTCTATCAGAAACAATCTCATTAGGAATTCCGTGTTTGGAGATGACGTCATTTACTAACGCTTTTACAACAGTTTCGGTCAATTGATTTGGGAGTGGAGTACACACTATGAGCTTACTGAATGCACATACCGTAATAGAAATAAATTTATTTCCATGTATACACTGAGGAAGTGGTCCGACGATGTCAGTATGCATGCGCTCAAATGGTCGCTGAGGTATTGGAAAAACTCCCAATTCCTCGCGGATGATTTGGCCAGAAGGAGTTTTGATTCTCTGGCAGACAGGACAAGTTCGAATAAATTGGGCTATCTGTGTACTCATGTTAGACCAAAAATATTTTGCTTCTATAGCTTTTTGAGTTTTTCTCATGCCAGCATGGGAAGTCATGAGAAGATTATTGTGGAAAAATTCTATGATGCGTTTTTGCATATCTTCATCAGTAATAATTAGTTGTGGTGTTTCTTTTACTGTAAAATAAAGGCAATCGTTGAAAATGGAATAATTATGCAAGGTTTTAGAGAATTCATCTGATAAATTGTCCGTGTCTCCTTTGAGAAAATCAATCAATTTCTGATAGCTAGAATGCATTTGTGACTGTCGAATATCTTCCAAAGATGGTATATTATTCACTTGTATGGCATTTGTGCACGCTACAGGGTACCTACTCAAAAAATCGCACAAGGTGTTGTGCTTTCCAGCACGGTATACGATTTCGAGGTCGAACGCTTGTATGCTGATTTGGTACTTAGCAAGTCGCCCAACTAAATCAGATCTATGCATTAAAGACTTAAGCGGTGCATGATCCGTTACTAATGTGATTTTCGCGTTCGCCACGTATGGGTAAAAATGGTTCAGAGCGAAAACAATAGCTAACGCCTCGAGTTCTATAATGGCGTAATTTTTCTCATGCTTCGTAAGCGGGCGGCTACAATACGCTATGGGGTGCTGATTTCCCGTTTCTGGATTTTCTTGCAGCAGACAAGCCCCTACTCCGATGGTGGAAACATCAGTATGAACATGGTAAGGTCTACCTAGGACAGGTGAAACCAAAACTGGTGCATTAACCAGTGCATTTTTGAGCGAAAGGAATGCTTTGTTATGTTCTTCTGTCCATGTAAATGGAACATCCTTTTGCAAAAGATTATTTAATGGGGTGGCGATGAAGGAAAATCGTGGTATAAAACGACGAAAATATGATGCGGCACCAAGAAATGATTTTACACCCTTGGCATCCGTTGGTTGAGATATTTCTACGATACTAGTAACTTTTTCGGGATTCAAACGGGTGCCTTTCTTGCTAACCAAAATGCCTAGGTACTGTACTTCTTTCTTGAAAAAGGAGCATTTTTTACTCGTCAATTTTATGCCGAAATTTTGGATGCGTACAAATACTTCTTCAAGATCTTGAAGGTGTTCACGTACTGAGTGACTGGCAATTATAATGTCGTCGATATAGGCAAAACAGCAGGCTTTTAATTCACGAATTAAAGCGTTAGCGACCCTCTGAAATGTGCCTGGTGCTCCTTTGAGACCTTGGGCCATTACAGTGAATTGAAAAAGTCCTAGAAATGATGAAAAAGCTGTGCGTTCTTTATGTTTTGGTTCCAAAGGGATTTGAAAAAATCCGCTTTTAAAATCCAGAACGCTATATAATTCTTTTCCGCTGACAAGATCGATAATATCTTGTAT